ATACACACACACACACACACACACACACACACACACACACACACCACACACACACTCACGCACGCACACACACACGCACACGCACACGCACACACACACGACAGTCAGTAGTAACTAAGAAGAAACGGAGGGGGGATCACACACACGCGCACACACACACACACACACGACAGTCAGTAGTAACTAAGAAGAAACGGAGGGGGATCACACACACACACACACTCACGCACGCACACACACACACACGCACACGCACACGCACGCACACACGCACGCACACACACACGACAGTCAGTAGGGAGGATGGCAGGTGAGAAGCGAGGCGGCCGGTCGGTGGTGCTCACACACACAGCTCTGGCCTTTAAGGAAGGCGCCGAGTCTGATGACTCCTGCAGAGATGGGGTCGGGGAAGGAGGGAGTGAGAACTGGGATTGTTACGTAAACTGAGGAAACATTGTTTTATAAATAAGTAAATAATAAAAGAGATAGTTTATTCTGGAGTCAGATGAGTGACCATGTCCTGGAAACAGGCTTAGGGCTCCCCAAATACGATGTTCCAATGCGAAGCAGGTTCGCCAGGCTTTTTTATACTAAGGACAAACAGTCATCAGTCAAGACACTTTCCACCCGGCCGGTGGTGGCGCCGGCCTTAGCACGCTGGAGGATCGAAGTGAGTTCAAGGTCAGCCTGGTCTACGAGATCTAGTTCCAGGACAGCTTCCAAAGCCACAGAGAAACCCTGACTCAAAAAAACAAAAACAACAACAGTAAACAAATACACTGATGGAGACACCGAGAAGACAGTCACAGAACAGTGAGAAATCACAACTACAGGTCTCCAGTTACCATGGAGTTGACACCAATCCTATCGGCTAGTGATGCTGCTATTGTAAAGTTGTAGCAGAACACAATCCACGTTTGTGGTAAATCTAGTGTAAACCCACTGTGATGACAGTCATATAAAATTACAGCATCACAATCATGACAAGTTACTATATTACTGGCAGATGTAATGCTGCTGGTTTATGTATTTGCTGTCCTACACTATTAATCTTTAGAGTGTACTCCTTTTTCCATTTCCCCCCGTAAAACAATGTACTATGTTACACCTCTAACAGTTTTTATATATTTCATGTTTTTATCCTATTGATTAAACCAAAGGACCATGTCAAAGGATAGCCATATGCCATCTGTGTTTGTATAAGTACACACTATGTTGTTTGCACAGTGATAAAATTGCCTAGTAAAAACATTTCTCAGAATATATCTCCATCACTAAGTAATCCATGATACTTGGAAATCTATTGTTAAGAATGTATATTCTATAAAATTTAACTGATACACTGTGATCGGATCAACCAGGCAAGAGACACAAATACTTTAAATGTAAGGCAATAAAACGTAATCTTTAGTTTATGCTAACTTCTCAGGCATTTTTTCTCAGAATACTCTTAAAAGTTATTGAAAACATCTAAAGAGCTATTGTCTATGTACTTATATCTCTTAAAATAAAAATTTAAATTAGGACTTATAAAGCTTGCAAATATTTAAGTATAGTGGCAATAAAACCATTGTTTAGCAATTTATGTACTTTATGAAAGTAACTATATTTTGGAGAGCAAAAAATATTTGCAAAGAGTCATGTTATGGGCTTTCAGTTGGATGAATACCTACTTTTGTATATAATCTCTATAGGAAATTTTTGTTGAAATATGCAAAGAAACTGGCCTTAGTTATGCTAGTTGAGGGAGTAATATTTAAGAGCTTTTTCAGAAAATTATTGATATTTAGCACTGCATCAAACTTTGACAAGGGATAATCTTCTTAAAGTTTAATTGACATGAGGAATGGGCACGGTATAGCACAACTTTAATCACAGCAATTGGGAGGAAGAGGCAGAGGAAGGGGGATCTCTGTGAGTTTGAGTCCAGCCTGGTTGACATATTGAGTTCCAGGATAGACAGTGATACTTATTGAAGCTCTGTCTCAAATATGTGTAAAATATATCAATGGGTGTTTAATATTGTTACATACTTTAAATGGTAGTACTCCATCTTGCATTTCGAATGGGTCTTTCACCCGTGTGTGTCTTTGTAACAGTCTCATTTGTTGGTCTTTGGAAGACATTGGTTCACCATATCTTTCAGATGGGTCTTTCACCCGAGTGTGTGTCTTTGTAACAGTCGCATTTGTTGGTCTTTTGGAAGATACTGGTTCACCATGTCTTCCAATAGTTGACACATTGCATGACCATTTTTTTTGTCACAGATATAAAAGTGCACACACACACACACAAACAACATGCAAATCAATGGGTCAAAGTTACTGAAGCCAAAGTTATTGTGAAGTTAATTTCTTTGTCCTATTCCTGACTGCTAATTTTTTTTAACAAATTTTATTTTCTGTGAGAGCTTCAGACAACCTGGTTCGATCATACTCACTCCGCCCCAACTTTTCCCAGACCCACCTCCTTTTTCCATCCACCCATCATTT